TAATAGTTTGTTTCCCTCGAAACCAAACTTGATATGTAGATTCTTATTTACATTGAAACATACTCTCTGTGTTTCAATATTCAAATGCATCCGAATATTATTCACTGGTATCTCTTTTTCCCATTGTTCACCGTTGCTATTGGAATCCCTTCAGAGGAAAAAGTCTGCGTTGTTATCACACTCGTTTCTACTATTAGTACTTGTCCAAGGATACCACATTTTAAACAGATAACAAAAATTTTGAGTAATAATAACTGCACCAATATCGAATTTGAACACTCAAATCGCGATCAGTTCCTGAACTGAATATTGACAACAGGACGGCTCGATTCCATTCGTCACCGTAACATGACTTCAAATTTAATTTTATGACTCGGCCAAAATTTTCTTATTCAGCCAATCATAAAACTCGATTAGTAAAAATCATCCAATGCGAACCGCCAATTTTTCAGTCCACGTGGACTAGTTTGCAGCGTCATTATTTCTTTGTATTGGTTTCTTTTGGCCTTTGAGGGCGCCAACACAATACATTATATATGGACAATACCAGTTACTTCGACTATACCACTCGTGATCATTTTTCTGACTCAGAGTACAATCATCGTATGCCACTGTTGAAATTTTGGATATTTTGAGCGCTCAAATTCATTTTCAACACAAAATTTGATGGAAATTCATTGATCACTATTTTTAGTTAGCTAAACCGCCGATTACGGCTAAACACTTCCACCGTACCAACAAAAAAAATTTAAAAAATCGCTAATCGGATGTGGGTAGCTCGCAAAATTTGAGTCCACTCTGTTGATGAACTGTATTTACAATTTATTCAGGAAATGACGATAATATATTGAGAGATCTCAAGTCACAGAATTTTTCTGGTTGAATATTCTAATGATAGAAAATAAAAGCGTCTTCTTCTAATTATGGCGATGATTTTCATTTTGTATACATCGGTTAACAATGAAAGTAATAGTTACTGTGAGTTGAGGAATGCATAATAGTAACTTTTCAAGAGATATTCCGTCAAGCCCTGCCGTATAATTCCTAATCATAATTTCTTTCATTCGATAGATCGACTGAATGATGTAACGAGCATTGTTGGTCTCCATTCTATTGGTGACGTGAATATCGATTGTATATCAGCCATTAACAACCGTATTTGAATATTCTATGAATATGGATATATATCTGCCATAAATTGTCCTACCGGACCTGAGTCAGGTACATGTTTATTCCATATATTTGTTATATACTACGAGACCTATATTCCACTTAACATCGGACGTATATTATTGATCATCGTTCAGTATTATTACAAACCGTCTTTGAAGATTGAAATGGAAAATCCGTTACCACAATAAGTGTCCAGGTTTTCAACTTCAAAACTGACGAAAGTCAATACAATCTTTGAACTTCTATTTTCCCTCTTTGAGTGAAGAAATTCCTAATTTCTTTTCCAGATGCTCACTTACGCTATACAAAGAACCTCAAAATACTGAGCCATTTATACAATTAAATTGGATACTTTTGTTACAATGCACATTTCAGAATCTCTGTCAAATTCTTATAGAAATTGATACAATAGTCGTTTTGAGTATTCAATATAGATAAACTTTGTCTTCTACGCTAAGTAATTTTAACGAATCGTTTAAAAGTTATCACAATAAGATTAACTTGACGCAATATAGTAAGCCATTAC